GGGGGGGGGGCACAGATAAAATCTGTGACCATGGTAACCAGCAGTTTGCCCAAAGACTGAGCTCCGCAAGATGACAAGATTCAATGCTCACACCTGCCACCAGGTGCTGCATGTTGCCAACACTCATCCAGACTGCCAATAACAAAGGAGAACCATCAGCCACTGCTTCCCGGCCAGGTGCAGATCGGGGCACCACGTGTATTACCGTGTATTACCGCTGTGACCCTCCCTCGGCCCCCCAGGAAATTGACAAGCAAAGCAAAGCGAACTCAGAGAGGCATGAGGTCGTTTGTCTACTTAAGTGTCCCAGCAAGCCAACAGGGTCGAAATCAGGCCCGTGTACTGCCAGCACCCAGCTGTCCCAGCGTGGTCTCCGGATGTCCTGACTCGCGTAGTGCCTTGCGACATGCTTTCAAAAGCCAGGTGGAGGTCAGAGGCGAATCCACATGGGTGCTCACCAGGCCAGCCAAGGCGCCATTAAGTCAGTGGCTTGGACTCATGGTGACGCTGTGTGTCGGTCCAGGTAGAACTGAGCTCGGTGGGATTTTCAGTGGCTGCTTTTTCAGAAGTAGATCATCAGGACCTTCTGCTGAGGCACTTCTAGGGGGGAAGGGGCTCAAACCACCAACCTTTGGGTCAGCAGCTGAGCGTGTGAACTGTCTGCACCACCACCGTCAGGCACTGCCATTCCTGCTTTTGGCGGTAAGGTCATAAATTACGTTGGTTCGTGTGGGTTCAAAGCAACCACCCCAACCCTCATTGGTTATCATTGTCATAAAAGAAAATGTATTTTAGTGCCCCCCAAATGGTAGATGGGACATCCAAAACCCAAACCAAGCTTACTGCCATTGAGTCGGTTCCGATTCATGGTGACCCTATAGGTCAGGGTAAAACTGCCCTATCGGTTTCTGAGACTGAAACTCTTTATGGGAGTAGAAAGCCTCATTTTCCTCCCATGGAGTGACTGGTGGTTTCGAACTGCTGACCTTGCTGTTAGCAGCCCAACAAATAACCGCTACACCACCAGGGCATCAGTGTGGAATAAAACGCTGTCTTTTCCACTGAATATACTCACCCTGGTGGAAAAACGACACAGATACATCGCAGCGGTGCCATTGTAGACAAGGTTGGGCTGACACTCAGCAACGGAGCCCTTCAGCCAGAATGGCTCACCGACAGTTTAGTAGTTCAAGTCCACCCACTGAGAAAGACCTGACAATCCATCCTCACCCTTCAAGGTCACAGCCCAGAATGCTCAGTCACACGGGGTAGGATCCCTTTGAGATGGCGTCTACTCAGCAGTGCCCGGCACCACCACCACTGCCACTTGGGAAATGTGGGCTCTGATGTCTACACTGTCTCATCGTAGCTTCAGGGCACCCCTGGGCATCTGCTGTTGTCAGCTGCCATCCAGTGACTCCGGCTCATAGCAAGGCCATGTGACTGAGCACAACAGCCTACTTGGGGTTGTCTAGTGGTGCAGTGGCTCCAAGGTGGGCCTCGATCCACAAGATCAGCAGTTCAAAAGCACCATCTCCTCCGAGGGAGAAAGACCCGGCTTTCTACTCCCATAAGGAGTTACAGTCTTGGAAACCCACGGGGGAAGTCTACCCTGTCCTAGAGGGATCATCTCTAGGCAGGGAGGGCTCACCTTCCTGAGCACAGTAGTTCTGTTCTCCAGCCCAGCCCCAATCCTGCTCTGTCCTTACCTGGTACACATCCAGGCAGAGCCTTGGTGGTGGGAGAGGTGACAGGGACAGTCACGCCCACCAGCACTTAGGGGAGTGTTGGAAATCTAGAGAAGGCTCCTTGAGAGGCAGGTGCTCTCCCACAGGGCTGGCTCTTGGGCCATGGGAAGGTGGACAAGGCAAGCCCCATGAGACAGAAGCTGAGGATGGAAGAGCTCGGGGCGAGGCCTTCGGCTTGAGTCTGGGAAGATGGCAAGTAGACAAGTCTGAGCACCCCCCCCACCCCCCCACCCCCCGCCCAAAGCTACAGTCAGAGCTCCAGACAGCAGGAGAGAGCAGTCAGGGGAGTTCTAGGCACACACACCCCAAACATACACAGGGACTCCCCCCTCTAAGCTCCACCTGACATGACACTCCATACCACCAGTCAAAAAGGCATTTGACTCCATCCCAGTCTCCCCAAGTCCACCCAGAAGCTCCCGAGAGGACAGCCCGAGGTCCCTGTGTCAGCCAGTGGATGGGTCCTGGCCAAGTCCTTGCACCTACGTCTGTACTCGTCTTCTGAGAAGACCTGGGCAGAGAGGGACCTGGAGAAGCCTACAGGATGGTAAGGACTTGGGAGGCCCCAGGACTCAACAGCCGTGCCCTGGGCTCCTCATCCCATCACGCACAGCCTGGCACGAACGAGAAGCTTCTGACCATGGTGGTCACCACCGCCAGGGTTCCTGGATGGGCGTCACCCAAAGGAGAGTGTCTAGAAGCTACTGAGGGCTTGTCCATCCCATCCTTCTTGCTGGCGGTCCATATGCAAATGACATGCAAATGGAACTCTTCCTGGGCACTCCCTGCCCCCCTCCATGCTGGGCTTGCCTTCCTGCTTCACCAGTCCCAGGCCCCCTCCCTCCCCACACTCTGGCTCTGACACCACAGCTATGACCCCCGGGTACTTGTTCCGCTCACAGAGCAGAGAGTGGGCTGAGACCAGGTGAGTGGCCCTCAGACTCTGATCCTGCCTGAAGACAAAGGAGTGAGGAGCCTGCAATCCTTCTGGGTTCTGAAGGGGCAAAAGAGGGGCTCCGGGTTCAAGGGGCTGGGATCCCCCAGGAGGGATGGGAAGACGGGCGCCCGGTGGGTCAGGCTTAACTCACGCTGCTTCTCCTGAAGGAGGCTGGAGGTGCAGGGCGCCGCCCCTTCACCTGCAGGAAAGAACAGAGCCGTGAGCACAGGATCCCCCCCGCCTTGCAGTAGCCAAACCCAAACCTGCCATCGCCAGGTCCCTTCTGACCAGGGCAACACCCCCATGTGCCAGAGCCGTGCCGAGCTCCTCGGCTTTCTAGTCCACAACCCTCAGGCAGGAAGATCTTCAGGCCTTGATCCCAGGCAGGCTCAGACTGCCTGCCTTTAGGGTGATTATCGAGGGCCAAAGAGGTCCTTCCGCCCAGGTAGCCTTCACTGACTGGGCCAGACCCTGCGTTTCTGGGCTGGAGACACGACGGTATTTTGCCCGCTTGCTGCCCTGCCTTGCTTCTGCCGCAGGCTTCGGCCCCTAGCCCTTGATGGAGGTGTCAGATGGGACCACCTCCGGCCTTCTCACCTCTGCCTTCTCTGAGGCTGCTTCTTCCACCCCCGCAAACAACTGCTCCCCAGCTGTGGCCCGTACTCCCTCCTCTGAGGGTTGGATGCCCATGTGCTCGCTCAACTCACTGCCACCGAGTCGATGCTGACTTGCAGGGACCCCCCAGGACAGGGTACCACTGCCCCCTGTGGTTTTCAGGGACTGTACCTGCTTATGGGAGGAGAAAGCTTCGTTTCCCCCACGGAGAGTGTGATAGCTTTAAACGGCCAACAGTAGAGATTGCAGCCTGTCTCCAGGTCAGCCCTGTTCCCACAGCTCTGGAGCCCTGGCCCCCTTTCCCCCCAGACATCTCCAGATGCTTCCCAGGTGTCCCGCATGCACCCTGTCCGAGGTGAACATCCCGGCCCACTCTGCTTCCTCCATGGAAGGCGCCTCCTTCTTCCCAACTGGAGAGCCCATGCCTGTGATTGGTTCCGGGGGGGTCTGCTTCATTAGCACTTGCCCCTCTCCCTCACCATGGCAGGGATTTCATCATTGTCCCTTGGTGTGCTCCCCAGGCCGTAACCAACAGCCCTTCTCACTCTATATCTCTTGAATGAATAACTGAATCCACGCACCCTCCCCCACTGCTACCCATAGGGCTCCATCCTATGCATTGTGGGGCTATTGAAATAGTTTCTTTCATTGCACGAAAACCATGTTCCCTCTCTAATTACCACAATAACAACAGCTCTTCATTGAACACGTGGAAACACTCGGGAGCCTCAGGTAAGAATGGAGATTCCGCGTGATCCCGTCATTAAGAGAACACCTGATTTACCTGCCAGATGTGTCTCTCCGGTGCTTTTTCCACACACGTGTCTTTCCCTACGGAGCACCGGCCATCGCTTCCATGAGGACCCCACTTCAGGAGCTTCAACGGTCAGCTCCGGGTCCCAAGGGCCAGCACAGGGCCAGCCTCAGAGAAAGATTGTTCCTTTTTCATGTCCCCACCAGGGGAGACAAACTCAAAAACCCAAATTCACTGCCATAGAGTTGATGTGGAGGCATGGCAACTCTTAGGCCAGGGTAGAGCTGCCCCAGTGGGTTTCCGGGACTGTAACTCTGTGTACTGTAACTGAGGTGCCACCGAGTTGGTTCCGGCCCATAGCAACCCCGTGCATAAGAGAAGGAAACACTGCCCAGTCCTGCTCCATCCTATGCCTGGACCCATTGCTGCAGCCGTGATGTCACTCCATCTCCTCAGGGTCTTCCTCTCCTCGCTGCCCCTCCCTCTACCAATGCGAGGTCTTTCTCCAGGGACTGGGCTCTCCTGTAACTCTTTACAGCAGGGGTCCTCAAACTTTTTAAACAGGAGGCAAGCTCCCTGTCCCTCAGACCGTTGGAGGGCCGAACTATAGTTTTTTAAAAAAACTATGAACAAATTCCTATGTACACTAAGCAGGACAGGCAATGGCGTTAAAACACCCGGCGGGCCGGATAAATGTCCTCAGAGGACCGCATGTGGCCCACGGGCCATAGTTTGAGGACCCCTGCTTTACAGGAATAGAAAGCCTGGTTTTCTCCCAAGGAGTGGCTGGTGGTTTCAAACTGCAGACCTTGTGGTTAGCAGCCCAATGTATAAGCACTAAGCTACCAGGGTAGACAGGAGGCCCCCGAGTCATTGCAATACGCCCCATGTCTGAAAGCAATGGATTCCCAGACTGGGGAAGCTGACATGCTTATCCCCAAAGAGTCTCCTATCAACTAGCCCAGGGCAGAACGGCCCATGATGGGGATTCCCTGCCAGACCAGATCCTCCCCTTCTGGGGTAGAAACCAGCTGTGTGGAAGGGTAGGAGGAAGGTGGGCAGGATCTGGGGACACAGAGGGCAAGTGGGAGGGTGGAAGCAGAAACTAGTTCCAGGAAGCAGGAAGGTGGGGCCATCAGGACTGCTGTGAACTGAAGCTCCAAGCCCCTGGGAGTATGGGATTATAAAAAAACTTTTCCCAAGCTTTGTCTCCCCCAAAGACATGCCAAACATTAGGGGCTTTTTGCTAGCATATGGGGGGAGGTCAGAAGCTTAGAGACATCCTCCCTGAAGGCAGTCAGTTGCCAGACCAAGGTAGGGCACCCCCTCCCTGCTGTTAAGGACAATGGGCTACTTGTCCCTAAAGGGTTGCAGTTCCTGTAGGTGGAGTTCACACCCTACTGATACTGGTGCCAGGGAACAAGTCAAACCAGCTCCGTGACATCCAAAGTTAGGCTGCCATCCTGAATCTAGGATCGCCCATCTTGTCACATGTATACCCCCAATCCCTCCTCTTCCTATTGCTTGTATACCCCTAGATCAGCCCCCTCCCATTACTGTATTACCTATAGCACAACCCTTTCCTGTGACCTAAGTCTTCACTTGTAATTAGGGGGCTTGCATGTCCCCAGAGAATATAAAAGCCTTGGTTAGCATTAAATATCACTCTCTCTCCACGTGGACCACCAAGTGAGGCTGAGGTCAGCAATGCTACCACGAAATGTGTCTGACTCCATTATTTCAATCTCTCATGCTCTTTATGACTTTACTATAATCTTTACTTATGATCACTGTACGATTGCACCTACCGGACCCGTGATGATGTGCTAGGGGCTGGATTCCCCTGGCATGGGAGCATGCTACTTCATCTTGAACTGCACTTACAAAACGCAGATCCAAAGAGAAGATTATTTCAAACTCAAGCACTAAACCCTGAGCAGGGGCACTTTGGAGCACAGGAATCCACAACAAAGCTGCTCTGGTCACATGACCCTGCCACACAAGTGCCTCTGGCATTTCTCAGAGAGGCCTCTCCACCCGCTCCATGGCCCAATCTTCCTTGGGGAAGAAGATGAGTCCAGAGAGGGTGTGGCCAGGCCTGACTCACTGTCCCTACATTCTCCTGCCAGGTGCCAGCTCCCCCTCTAGACAGGCTCTCAGGGACTTGCCATTCATAGCTAGGAGATGCTCAGGCCTGCAGGGCCTTCCTCCCAGGAAGCATGTGGGCTTTGAGCCTGGGCAGGACCTCAGGTCACACTGTGGGGACTGAGACCAACAAGCTCGTGGGTGGCTCTGGGTGAGCAGGAAGGAGTGCAGGGAAGACCCCAGGGGCTGAAGGGCATCGCAGGGCTGAGGCTCAGGGGCTGTCATCTTTTCCAGGTGCGACTATGGTAACAGGAATGCCCGTGTGGGTGGTCTGAAAGGGCAGACAGTGGTTTTTCCAGGGCAGGAGGCCAGGAGTCAGAATTCAGGGGGCCTGCAGGGGTGGGGCCTCGTCTGCCTGCAGGGGCAGGGGATGAGGAGGACAAAGCCTTCTTTGCTGCAGCTGGTGGAGGAGGTTCCGGTTTCCTGGTGATCGCCACACGGTTCCGTCCCCCTTTGTACCCACACCTCTGTGCCTAACCTGCTTTTTGTATATCTCAAGAGCAACTCCCTACACCGGTCTGGCATCTTTTACACAACAGGGAAACCCTGATTTCCAAGTGAGACCGCTGCCGTGGGTATGAGAAAGGAACCCGCCAAACCACCGCTGTGGAGCGGGGCCCACTCAGAGCCACCCGGCAGGGCAGTGAAATGGCTCCTCGGGGTTCCTGAGGCTGTCACTCTTCCATGGGAACAGACAGCCTCCTCTTTTTCCCAGGCGCAGCTGGGGGGTTCGAACTGCCCGCCTTCGTGTGAGCAATGCTTCTTAACATGCTGCACCCCAGAATTCCTTCCATAGATGTGGAGGTTGAGAGTCCAAGGCGTATTTTGGAGGGGGGTAGGATGCAATCCAAAACACCGGGTGTATCCCAGGGCGCCTGCCGGGGCTGCAGGTGGGAGCCAGGTCCCGGGGTCTCTCCAGAGCTGCCTCTGAGCACAGGCGTGGCTGTGTCTGTGGGAAGGCTGCTGCTGGGCCTTGTCCTCTCCCACGGGTGAGACCCCTGAGCCCTCACACCCCTGGGCCTCTTAGCAACTGGAGAAACTGAGGCTCAGAGGTAAGAGCCACTGCTTCCATGCCATCCCTTGCCTTGACAAGAAGTGAGGGTCCTTCCTAAACAGGGAGCCACAGGGGCCAAGGGGCGAGTACCCACAAGCCAGGGGTTGGGAGATGAAAACCTAGCTCAGGCCGAGATTGGGAAGCAGGAGGAGTGGAGAAGAGGTTGGGGGGAAGCACCCCGAATGAGGCCTGGACTGTTACCTGCAGGCACCCCCCACCCCCAGGGCACACACAGGAGGGACAGCTATGTGTGTGGCAAGGTTTAAGTGTGGGGCTGGCTCCGTCTTCCCACACAGCAGTGTCTGCTGTGAGCATCAGCTTTCTGATTAGCAGGCTCCCCGGACGAGGGCCATTAACCAAAGGGCAGCTGCCTCCATCAATGCCTAAATGAGACCCCACTTGGCCTGGAGCTTCCCAGGGCCCCCAGGCCCTCTGACAGCCTTGGCTCTTCTGGAACTTTCTCTAGTACAGAAGTTGGTGGAAGCTTCCTGCAAATAGGTCGGGCGACTCCGTTTGGACAGGGAACCTGGTAGGCATGCCGTCATGGCCCTCCAGGAAGCCTCTCTCCCCACAAATCCAGCTTCTCCCACAGGCACCCAGCGCTGGAGGTCTGCACCACCACCTCATTCCC